CCCCCCTCCCCCAGTTAGGGTTCATGGCATCTTGGATGCATGGGAGAATTTCTCTGGGGATATAAATGACCATCTCCTTTACAATCACTGTTGCTGCAAATAATCTCAGCGCCTCTGTGGTTAAAGTTGGAGAAGAAAGAAAACATGGCAGCCTGTGAGAGCTGTACACAGAAAGTGAGACTTCTGTGCCTTTGTGGGAACGAGCAGCAGCACTGGAGGCTCAAGGCTTCAAGTAAGCACTGCTAGTTCCTTGCAAAGAAGTAACAATGGGAGAATTGGCATTTGGTGCCCTTTCTTGGGAGCCGAACAAGACAGAGCAAATGGAGAAGGTGCTACAGATGCAAGCAGCTGGGACACAGGAAGCCAAACAGTGAAAGGAAAAGCAGCAGAGGTGGAAAAGGAAAACCGCAGCTGTTTGGCTGTTTTGTTTCAATTGTGCAATAAGGCAGCACAGCACATTTTAAACCTGTGTTACAAGTTGTCACCATCATGCAATATCGTTGCAGTCGATGTTTTTATGCAGGCTAGGCAGTGACTCCACATGCTTATAGGGTCTTCAGTAGGTAGTAGAAAAAAATGCAATCACGGTCAGCCCAAGCTGATACATATTTGCTCAAAGTTTAGTCCAACAATGGAGTATACGGAGCTGCTTTTGTAATTTGCCAATTTTGTTTTAGTAATTAAAAAAACAACCATCGGGATCCTGAAGATGATACTGGTTAAGGGCTACCAAGTTACTATTAGGAATTTAAAGGGATATAATTTTAAAATTCAGAATTACCGGTATGTCCTCTGAAGAATCGGGCTATGAGTGTAATTGGAAGCTCAGCATATCTTGTCCTTTTCAGTAGTAATTGCACCTATTGATTTTTACATTTTTTCTTGACTAACAGAAGAACTATAAATTTACTTCCCTAGAATCTTTGTTGAATCTCAAATAAACTCCCCCCCCCCCCAAGAACTTAAGCACAGTAGCAGGTTACAGTCAAGGCAGCTATTTTATTCATATGATTAAAACTTGAGACATAAAATGAAGTACAAACAAGATAAAAACCCCAAACAAACTTGAAAAATATATATGAAGGAATGGAATTACAGGAAGTGGATTTGGTGGCAAAAATTCAGTGCAGGATCCAAGGTGTTTGATGTTATCAAGCTTATCCTGATAACTTGAGGCTATTGAAAGAAACCATCTGTTGCAGCTGAACAAAATGACAGAAAGCAACATCGGAACTGTCTCCAGTGTCTAATAATAGTAAACATTTCATTGGATGCTGCAAAATGACCCCTCAGACAGCTAATTTCAGCAAATCACTTTATTCTGCATTGTACTGGGAGTATATGTCTTTTTTCCCCAAAATAACCTATTGAAGAAAACCATCAATAGGAAAGCCATTATGATGAACTGACATTGTACGGATATATCAGGTGGTTTCCATGCAAATCTGGTTGGTCCTGTTAAAGACTTTCTTTTATATTTTCCATTGCACTCTGATAAAACATCCAGAGATTTATGTAGCTTTGCAGTGGCCAATCTACTTGGACACAAGATCCAGTTACTTTGCTTCTATATCCAAGTAGCCCGTAATTAGGCTCAAACAAAAGTTGAGTCATTTATAAAAAGAGCCCAAGGTGCTATTACAGCCAGACACACCAAGGTCCAGTGTATAATTATATAATCCACATCTGTGTGGAAACTGCCCCATTAAGCCACCTGATTCCCTGAGAATGAAGATGTTATGTATGCTGGCTTTCTAGAAGTCCCATAAAGTTACTGCTTTTCTCAAAAACTCCCCTCTTGAAGAGACAAGAAAACACCATTCCACTTCATTTGTTCAGTGGTAGGCTAAATGAAATTGGAAAACAAGTACTGTATAAAGGAAAAGTTGCTGAGATACGATTCTCTCTTCCACCCTCCCAAGCTGTTCTGAAATTTTGCATCTGCTGCATTGATCATGCAAAGGAGAGATGATCCCAGCAACTACTGCGCTCAGACCTATTAACAGAACTATGGGTAGATTATAGGTGTATTAGATCCAGGTGTCAGAGGTCGTGCCTCTTTTAATCAAGAAAGACACGTTTTGTCGTCATGTCAGGAGGATACTTTTTGCTAGTTTTAACATCTCTGTTAAAAGCATTTGTTCAGCTTCAGGGAATGGTGGGTTAAAAGAAACAGTATGCCAAAAGTGGACGGGCTCATTGGTGGATGTAACTAGTTGATAAAATTATTTGCTTCATTGCAAGTCAAAAGCTTCTACAATTCTACACAGTTGAAATTGCGCACAAGAGTTCTGCATTTCATTGGCACAGCCCTGCAAAATCCTCACAAGTGGGAAAAACCTCCCGAGACTATGGCTTCAATACACTTTGATGTAAACATGTAGCAACTCAAAGATCAATTTTCCCCACAGGTGATTTGCAAAGGCCATTTATTCAGCAAGAGTATTAATTTGTCAGCTACTGCTAGGACTAACAAGCTCTAGAGAGCAGCAGGTATAAAAATGTTAGATGTTTACTCTCCATTTATACTGGAGGCACTTACAATTATGTACTTATGTGTTCTCTAGCCATTTAATTTTGTGTTTATTCTGCATTGATTCACAAAAAGCCTCATGTTTAGAGGGGTTTTTTCTTTCCTAAGTTGCACTGGGGACTTATTCAACTGTTTGGATTGTGGCCTCAGCAAATTAGCAGGGTCTCTGTTAAGTATTCTCTGCCTGCTTTCCCCCTTCTCATTTCTTGATGCTCCAAGTGTTTCTGTATTTGAACTTGGCTTTCCCTCTTTTCTACTCCCATTCTCAACATACGATATACAGCTGTACAAATCAAAACACAGTTTAATGGTTGAAAAGAAGGTCGCTTTGGAACCAAGGTGAACAGCAAGCCCACGGCCTGGGTTATTTATTCATTAAATTTATATAAATTGATATTTATATAATTAGAAATAACAATTATATAATTTTATATATGGAATGTAACAAGATTGTTATAAGGGCAGTAAAAGTTAACTACATTCTGCTTGTTATCACTCAAGGAGGACTGAGGAGCGAAGAAAAGATGACTTAAGATTCATTAAGGTGACTCTTCACTTTGTTGTGTTAGTGTAGTTATTGTTACAGAGGGGGAAAAAAGGCTTGCACGTTGTAGGGCATAAGAAATATAAGAAAAAAAGGACACATTATCAGTTTCTCTCACTGCAATTGCTGCCTGCCCTCCATTTTTAGGTAAGGCTGGATTTAACTGGTGGCAAGTGGCACAGGGTATACCTGCCATATGCTGCCTACTTAATGAAAAAGATGAAAGTCATTCAGTTTGTCTTCACTGCTGTTGACCTGGATATTGCATTAATTTGGTAACCACCACAACATATCAAGAGTTTACAGTTCAGCAAAACGCACGAGGGGTGAAGAATGACTATGTTCTGATCCATGCATGTAAGGTATAATTTTAATGAGAGAGAAATCATACTGACATATCACTTTGTAAGCAACGGCTACAAATTATTTAATAACCCAAAGGTCTTCAAGAGGTGAATAGTGTGTGTGTGTGGGGGGGAATCTGTAAACATTTCTTGCTTGGAGTGCAATCTGGCCTAGGGTTAGCTATGCTTATAAAGATGCCATTGCAGATTAAATCCTGCTCAGGGGCCTGTCATCTGTCACATATCATTGGGCTTACAATGTATGTTTAAAACTATGCATCTGCAACATTGGAACGATTTCATCCAAGAAACTTTATAGGTTATTTCAGTTTTATCATCAGAGACTTCTGAAGGCAAACAGATGGCAGGACACTGACTTCCCAAAAGCATCAAATATGCTTCATGGCTAACAGAAGTTTGGGCCAGAACATACCCTTAAATATTTCAATGCAAATATTATTGTTAAGATTCATAAGTTCACCAAAATGCAGTCTATGCCATATATTGAAATATCAGGTCTTGCATTCATACATTTTCAAACAGTTGGTGCATTTATTTGTTAGCTCATTTCCTAACTCTCTGGAGAAATAAGGTATATGGCTAATATGCTATCTATAGCATCGTGAACTTTATATTCCATTTGGAAAATCCTTGATGCTATTTACAAATATGGGAAGTTACTCTATTGCGAGTCAGAGGCAAGTGATTTGCCTAAATATATCACAGGAAAGAAAAAAAAATGTATCTAACACTCAATGTCTTATTTTTATATTAGAAATTATGATGCATCCAGTAATAGTTTTCTGTACAGTTCTCGAATGTCAGTTAAAATGAAAAATTTAACTCGAATCGTTAATAATAAAAATGTCACAGAATTAACTTAAATTAGTAACCACTATTTAAATCAGGGGTGTCCAACCTTGGCAACTTTAAGACTTGTGGACTTCAACTCCCTTCTGTAGCATCTTTGTGACTAAATAATCTTTGTCAAGTTATGTTCTGATAACTAACGAAATATGAAAATAAATCCTCCAATAAGATTTGCAAGTAAAGTTGCTAAAAACAGCATGCCTATCTTTGTGGCAACTGATGGCTGATCCGATTGCATACCTTCTCTTTCCCATGAGAATCAACTTAGGAGACAGACATAATATGACAGATTTATTGTACATTTATTTTCAGTGTGCTTCTAATGTGTCAAGAAATTCCAGCATGCAGAAATTCACACACACACACACACACACACAAAAAAAAACCCCTCTAAACATTGGCATAGAAAAAGAAATTTTGAAAAAAATAAAAGGGGGGGGGGGAATCACATTTATTCAATATATTTTTGAGCTTCCATCAAGCAAGTAATGAAGCAACATTTCTGCATATAGGAAAAAGAAGAGGAAAAAAAAGACCCTGTATTGAAGTCAATCAGCCAAAGTTCTCATTCAGTTGGTCTTCTATGATGATCACAATGAAACTGCAGAAGCAAACCCCCTGCCAATAAATGCTGAAGCCCAAGCTTCAGGAAGTTATCTTGCAATCTGTTGACAAGCATGTGGGCACAAGAATCTGTTTGGCATTTTCTCAGGATGAGGTTGTTTCCCCCCCCCCTTTTTTTTTCTTTTAGAGTTTTCCATTTGCAAAGGCTGCCTCCTGGAACTGAGGGACAAATAGTTTGAAGTAAGCCCTAGAAAAACAAATAAAAAAGTTTATGTCAGTAAAGATCAAAATAAGAGCATGTTGCATTTACAGATAAGATTGTCTAGCATGCAAAACAAAACTTTTTTTCTGACTAAAATACTATTTTAGTTATACTGTGGCTGGCAAGATCAAATGTAGCACTACAATTTCTTACTTTGAAATAATGCTTAACATGCAGTCTTATCTATTGCAGAAAGCTGTAATTTTATATATATATTTAAACTAAGTAAGTTGGGGCATATACTACTCAAATAATGGATTATTTTACATTTCTTTTAACATAATTGCTTGCATCCATTACTGCTTTTTTGTTATTCACTCTGTTGCCATTTCTACTGAAAAACACTTCACTTAGTATATCCTAGCTAATTGCCCTCCTTCCTGCTGCCTTCATATAGATCTAATACAGTTAATTCCTATATACTAACCAGAATCATATTTTGCAGAACTCAACAAAAAGTACCTTATTTTCCAAAGAGCATTAAACAACTGATGTGTTAATGATTGTTTCATATTAAATTATAGTCATTTCCAGTATAGTAGCTTGATTTTTACCAGGCTACTAATACAACTGGATTTCACATAATATGTTTAATAGATACAAATTTCAATTTATACATTAAAGATAATTGTATAGTTGAAATATATTATGTACATTTTAGAACTGAAGTGGCGGGAATTAAATCCAGATGGCTGTGTATTTGCCCGTTTCTATAATGGACAAAGTCTGTCATGTTCATTGATATGCCATATTTTTTAAAATCCATATGTATTGCACAGAGCAAATTTAATATATTGTATTGTGCATTCAGTCCAGGAGCCAGCCTGGCCTAGTGGTTAAGGTGCTGGACTAGGAGCAGGGAGAGCCAGGTTCTCATCCTGCCTTAGGCACAGAAGCCAGTTGGGTGACCTTGGGCTCTGTCTCAGACCTAATCAACATCAGATTCAGCAACAAGCTGGCCAGCAAACACACACACAAAACCAAAAGCAAAACCACTGTTACATCATGCATTTGATGGCTTCACTATAGTGAACTAGAAATACAGGAGAGCAAAAATATTTCATATTGTGTCTACTGACCAAAAGGCATGGACGACTAAATTTTAAAAAAGAAAGACTTCTGAGTAGACACTATTCTGTTCTCCCCTTCTGCCATTGCATTCCCCTTCATTCCATTAGGAGAGCCGTTTTACGCATTGATCTGTGTGTCTCTCTTTTTCGGTAAATTTCTGAAGTGAAGGTGCTTATAAATTACAATCTTGCTTGAATACTTACAAAAACTAGTCTGATCAAACATGCCAAAAATTCTAGGCATGCCTTAATGCAAAATCCTATGCCAAGGATCCAGGAAGGAAGACAAGAAGGAAGTAAGAAACCATTGAATGTCACAATCTGGAGAGAGGATTTAGAGGATTTTGCAGCATTTTAACTCCATATTGGAGGCTGATAAACTTGAGTAAACATAAACTCATAACATTAGGCTCAGGATATGTAGTCCATCATCCAGAAATTCAAGATTTTTATGTAGAATTAATCTACATTAAAAATGCTAAAGATTTTATTGCGGAAAGGTGGAATACGATAAATAAACCTGTTACTTTATTTGAATTGTTCTACAATTTCAACTGTTTTATATATATTCTTTGACACAACATGAATCCCTTTTTAACTTTTAAGAGCAAATTTTGTGTGTATGTGTATGATGTTTAAAATTTCAAGTTTTTATTTGAGCTCAAAGGAGCACCAAATAGATGAGCATCACATTTCCCCAACAATCTGGGTCCTCATTTTACTGAATTCGGAAGGATGGAAGGCTAAGTTGACTTTGAGCCTGTTGGGGTTGAATTCCAGACTTTGGGCAAAGTTAACATGCAATATTGTGTTCTAACCACTGCATTGCCTGGGCAGTGGTTGGAATGCAGTATTCATGGCCAGAGGACCAAATAATCTATATATTTCAGAATATTCTGAACAGTAAGATTCATAAGGGATAAGACACTAGGGACTAACCTCTTCCTTGCACTTTTAGAAATTCTGAAAATATTAAAGACAATGTAGTAGGTGAGGTACAAGATAATATATAGTTATAAATAGATATCTCATATATCTATCCATAAATTTACCGTACCTCTTATTACAGGAATTAGATTATTTGTCTAAGAATCTAATGGAATAAATTAGATTTGATGATTTACAACATTTATTTTGCCACAAATCTTAAAATATATAATTTTGGGCAGCTCAAAACACAAAAGAGCACTTTAAACAACTATGGAACTCACATTAACCAAGGCATTCTAAACAGCTGCTAAATCAGCTGCACCTTTATTGGGCTCAACAAATATCCTTGTCCAACCCTGGGGGGAAAGCCAGGTCTTTACAGACCTGGAGTTGGAGGTTGCTTTTATTTATCCTGATATCCTGATTCTTTAAAGCTTTTTCAACTGATATATTTAAATTAATTTTGGCAAAAAGTGAAACAGATGGTCTGGAAATTCTTTTGAGTATATGGGGCAAGATAATTGTGAATAAGATGAATATAACTCCAAGGAAAATTTATATTTTAAAATGTCTCCTATTTTTATTCCTTTATACTATTTTAGACAAATTTACAAAGCTACTATTTTTTTTCCTTTGATAGGAACATCCTTTAAAATTCGGTGGTATAAATATGCCTGTTGGGAAAGTGAATTTAACTTTTTTATTTTTCAGGTTATAACTGGGCATTTGTTTGATTAATCTTGAATTAATCTTATTGAGATAAGGAATTTCCAGATTCAGCTCAAAATTAGAATCATATGATGATTGGGAATAACTGTTTCCCTAATTACAAAACTTGCATTCAGTTTAAGAAGGTATGTATGTATAATATGACTCATGCATGCAACTTCTATTTTACCTGTAAAAACCTTACATTACAAAATAATGGTTACTTAAGAATAGTAGATAAATCCTTTTGCAGAATTATAAATTGGATTTCTCATAACATTGAAAAAGTTTGGAGTATACTTAATACTAAAAATAATATGTTTTAGATCAGAGTTTCTTGAGGGTTATTAAATGTAAACATTATTTCATAATAAATAATATTTACTTATTCTTCAGCTGTGATGCTATTACTGCCTGTATTTGAGAGGATATCTTGGGAGAATTAATCAATGTTTCTAAATTAGTAATTCATCTTTCATAAAACAGTAGATATATTCCAAAGATTGCATAATCTTGGGAATAATAAACCCAAGAAACTTCTGTTCCTTGATTTTTTAAAAAAGAAACTATTCTCTTTTTTAATGTACAACATATACAATATGCATTTGTATAATAGTATTTTAGACATTCTCCAATAATAATTGGCTACAATCACCCTCCAGTTGGTAATACAATTTTGTTATATACAGTTGGTATAATTTTGCCAAATTAAGGCTTGTTTTGCTACTGCCTTTCTTTCTTTCTTTCTTTCTTTCTTTCTTTCTTTCTTTCTTTCTTT